TGGGGCGGGCCGGGCCTGCGGGGCGGCCCTGTCCTGGTCGGCGGGGGGAGAGGCCGTCGCGGCTCCGGTACACCGGTGGGTCCGGCGGCCGCTTTTAGCCCTGCCCGTGTCCGCAGGCCGCAGCAGCCATGGCGCCCAGCCGCAATGGCATGATCCTGAAGCCCCACTTCCACAAGGACTGGCAGCGGCGAGTGGCCACATGGTTCAACCAGCCCGCCCGCAAGATCCGGAGGTGAGTGCCCGCGGCCCGGTTTGCCCCGGCGCCGCTCGCGTAGAGGTTGTCTCGTCTCGGGCTGCTTAGGAACCGCCGCGTCTTTATTTTAAACTCTTCCCCCTAAAACAAGTTGTGAAAGGCGCTGGGCTGGCAGCAGGGGGCTCCTTCGGTGTGGGGGCTCCGCTCAGGGTCGGGCCGCTCCAGCTGCAGTCAAGTGATGAGACGTCTCCGGAATCGCTGTACCGCGTTGATGATTCCCTTGAACCCTTCTATATCTGATGACTGCAGCTGTTCCGTAAAGCGGGCAGTGGCCCGGCTGAGCCGCTAGGCCAGCCCTGAGCATGTTTCTGAGTGCTCCCCGCGTGGCAGATGCCTCCCTGCAAGGGGAGCAGCAGCACATCGGGCAGAAGCGCAGCGTTCCTGATGGCTGTCCTCTTCACCCCCCAGGAGGAAGGCCCGCCAGGCCAAGGCTCGCCGCATCGCTCCCCGTCCCGTGGCTGGGCCCATCCGGCCTATAGTGAGGTGCCCTACTATCAGATACCACAAAAAAGTTCGTGCTGGCAGAGGCTTCAGCCTAGAAGAGCTTAAAGTAAGTACAGAAGACTGACCCCAGCCCGATAAAACTAGCTCTGAGCCTGATTTCAGTTGTTTTGTCCTGTTCTGCACGTAGACGGGGCAGAAGTGACTTGCCAAGGTGTTGGTGTCAGCTGAGGCTGGCTCGGCCTGCAGCGATGTCTCGTGTTGCGTTTTCTTTGTAACTCTGGGCTGGGATGTAGTAAGTGTGTGTCAGAGTGAAGGGTTGCTTTGAAAAGTAAATGCTCGGTTTGTGTGGTCAGATTGTCGCTTAAACAAAATTCTGTTAAAATCAGATTCTGGTAGAGCCTTAATTGAGCTTCCTAAACTTCCTTTTTTTTATTTTTGGCGGGGGTTGAAAAAGCACTAACAGCTTCTTCATTAAGTTAGGTGGTTTCTCTGTGAAACACAGTTCAGCTAATCCTGAAGATTTTTAACTGGTGTGAACGTGTTCGTGACATGGACCGAATAAATCCCGTTCAGTTTATTTCAAAGTAGGGAATATTGTGCCAGGAAAGGCAATTTTTCAGAGTAGCCATGGCTGTTTCTCATGCAGTAGCTATGAGTTGGTTTAGAAACTTCTCTGGGAGCTTCCCAGGTGTGCTGAGCTGTTAAGGGCTGGATTGTGGTGGGGTCTGCAGGAACCCCCACCCAGAGATCCACACAGCAGGCAGGAATAAACATCAGGGCTTGCTGGCAGCCAGCACCCGCAGCCGCGTTTTGTGTGTTGTTCAGTGTCTAATTAAAACATTTATAATAGTGAGATTAGTGCATTGAAGCAGTAAAATGGCTCTTTTGGATGCCAAATGCTTCATTTATTTTTCCTTAATTTTTGGTTAATGGTGAAATACAAAATGGTATGCAGATGTTTGCCTTTGAACAGAATATGAGGTTATTTCTTGTTTAAGATGGTGTCCAAAAAAAAATCCTTCTTTAATGGAGCTTCCAGTGTTCGGGGAACCAGAGTCACCCGCCTGCTGACTTCATACATTTCTCACGTGTACCAAAGTGTAAATGTCCCCCTCATAATCACTCAGGACTAGCGTTTTGCTCTCCTGAGGAAATCCATCTGCAAAAATTACTGTCAAGCTGGAGTGTTTTGGTCATTAAAACCCAGACACTGGGTCCCCGTTGCCCATCGTCCAGCAGACACTGAGCCCTACTCGGGGCTCCGCAGCCCGTGGTGGCTGCACTTGACCCCTTGTCTGGCCGGTGGCGGAGCAGCTCCCGCAGCAGCACGGCGACGGCAGGCGCTGGCGGGTGCCGACACTGGGCGCTCTCTTTTCAGCTCGCTGGCATTAACAAAAAGTTTGCCCGGACTATTGGAATCTCTGTGGATCCCCGGCGACGTAACAAGTCTACAGAGTCCCTGCAAGCCAACGTGCAGAGGCTGAAGGAGTACCGCTCCAAGCTCATCCTCTTCCCGAGGAAGCCGGCTATGCCGAAGAAGGGCGACAGCTCTGTAAGTACTTGGCTGCTAGAAACGTGTCCGGGGGGCTGTTTCTGGTAACGGGTTTTCTGAGGTTCGGTCATCAGTCCATCCCGGTGCAGTTAAATGCTTTTTATGAGGTGAAACCCCCCAGGGGGAGCAGTGTATGCAGGGGATGAGTGAGCCCAGCGCAAGGCCAGGCCTAGCAGAGTCACCTTACCCGGGGATCTCCGGGGTCAGGGTGGGGCCTCGGGCAGACTGGGGACTGTGGTGCTGCTGGGGGATGCAGCTCAGTGAACTCCTCGGGTGGTTTCTCTGCTGGAGCTTCGATCGTTGAAACCAGTCAAATTCTAGTTTATGAAGTTAATAGTCAGAAAGTCCATCTGGAGTGCCAGTTCTGTGGTGACGGCAGCGTGGAAACCATTTTTCATTAAAATCTCACCGAGATTTTTTTTCATTTGGGTAGTCAGCTTTCCGTGTCTGTCCTTGGCTCTGCCTGTGGTCAATAGATGCTTCCCATGGGGCAGTGCAGGTCATGGCTCAGGCTGTCCCTGATCTTCCGGAGAGGCTGTCAGCACTGAGCCACTGAACCATGGTGCAGCCTCTGGCACCCACCGAGCTCAGGGGGCTGCTCCTCCGAATGGGGGAGGAAGGGCCTCGAGCTCCTGTACCAGTAGGTACAGATACTTGTGCCTGAAATACCGTTTCAAATTTGTTTACTTCAAATCAGCTATCTAAAATAAAACTTGAATCATTTTTGTCTAGTGCCGTACTCTTACAAGAGGCTGAAATTAGCCTTAGAAGGAATTGCTGAGGAACACACAGGGCATCAAACTAAAAATGGCACAGTAGATGTCAACGTTTTTCCAGCTGGCGGAACGGGAAGGCCGCTGCTCCCCGGGGCGGATCCAGGCGGTCGATGGCCAGGCAGAACGCGGGTTGTCGATGCGGCACGTCTGTGCCCAAACTCCCCGCAGCTGGGGCGCTGAACTCCCCGCTGCTCGGTGGTAAATCTCTGGTCAGAACTGTTAATGGGGTGTTGCAGCTGGGTGCCTGCACACAGGGAGCGTTTCTAACCCAGCTATAGGATGTTTTAAACTATTTAAATCGTGGGTTTTGTCCTTTTGTTATGTAGGCTGAGGAACTCAAGATGGCGACGCAGCTGACTGGGCCGGTTATGCCAATCAAGAATGTAAGTGTGATTAAATCACATCGTCTGTGTGATGTAATTAAGGCTTGAGCTTCACGGAGAGGATTCTCTCCTTGCTGTTGAACAGTTCAGGGTTGCTGTCTCCAGACACTTCCCATCCTGGATCAAAAAAAAAGCCAGGAACAAGCCGGTCAAGCTTGGCCTTGTCTCTTACCAAGAGCTGTTGGGTTCTGTACAGAGCAAAACCATGAAGAGCTCATTAGTTGGAGCTTTGCTGAACTTACCAGCTGTGTTTCTGGGTCCAGAGGAGAGCTCCGGGCAGCGTTGTCAGGGGTTCAGCTCAAGATGTTTTGGGTGGGAATAATCCTGCATGTGTCCACTTGGGCCCCAAATCACAGCTGGGAGCAGCATGGCGCCGCACGCTGAACTCACGCCAACCCCGCCCCTGGGCGGGCGCAGGGCAAAGCCACCCCTGTGTCCTCGGGGCAGGTTCAAGGGTTGTTGGTTCCCTCGGACCTTTGGGGGGGGGCTCGGCCCTGTGAAATTCAGAGCACCTGGGGTCGCGGTTGGGGCGAGGGCTGTGTGCTGGCAGCGCCTCACCCGCCTGGGTTGTGTAGTCACCGTTTTCTCCGCCCTCGCTGCTTCCGAAAGGTGCTGTTGCTAGAACACCACAAACCTGACTCAGACTTCACGTTGCGCTTGGTTTTGTGGGTTTTTTTTTTTTTGGGTTGTGTGTTGTGTGGTTTTTTGGGTTTTTTTTTCTTTGGGCTGTTCTGATCTTGCACTGACGAATTAAGAACCGGTTGAAACGAGGTCCCTGCCGGAGTGACGATCGGGGGCGAGGCCTGTAGATGGCACAAACGCTCTATTCTGAGCAGTGTCCTGGGGCTGCTGGTAGAAAACGTAGCGAGATTAATTGTGTCAGACCTTCGGTAGGGGTTTGTGTTTTTTTCTGGGAGCCTCTGATGTGCTGCCTGATTGCCTCATCCTCTCCTCTAGGTTTTCAAACGGGAGAAGGCCCGTGTCATCTCGGAAGACGAGAAGAACTTCAAGGCCTTTGCCAGCCTGCGCATGGCCCGGGCCAACGCCCGGCTCTTTGGGATCCGTGCAAAACGTGCTAAAGAAGCTGCTGAGCAGGATGTGGAGAAGAAGAAATGAACTGTTCTCCCTAGAACTGTCCATTAAAAAAAACCCCAAAACCGTAGAAATACGAGTGTGTTGTCTTTTTAGGGCAAGATAAGACAGAACTGAGCTGCCTCTGCCTGCTCTGTGCTGATCGTGGGGTGTGGAGGGATGTAGGCTGAGGGAAACCTCATTTACTGTGATGAAAGGCTCCGAGATTCCCTGAAAGCCAGTGAAAACACACCTCGGCCTCGTGTGGCTCCTCCAGCACGGCCTCTGCTTCTCTGCTTCACTTCACAGCCTCACTAAAGGGCCTCTTCAGCTGCCTCTTGGGGTTTTTTTTGCAATACCCCTCCCTGACAAGCTCTGACTGCTTCCCACTTACCTTCTTCCATGCCGGTATTCCAGATTTAACCCTTTCCTTGCCTCTGGGTGAGGCAGAGCAGCTGGTTCTGCTCGAAGCACTGCAGGGGTCAGGGTGGGTGTCACCCAGGGGTGCTCTGAGTGCCCAGGGCACCCGCCTGCCCCCTCACCCCCACCTTGGGGCTCGCTGGGGGGGTGACTGGCTCCACAGCAGGGCTACCCCTGCCTGGGGCCCTGCTCCCCCATTTTTAGGGGGCAGGAGGGGTTCTCTGCTGGCCACCGCTTGCCCCTGGTGTGTGCAGTCACTCTCTGTGAAGTCGTTTTTTAAGGGAAATCTCTGTGGCACCAAAGAGGAGCCCAGCCCCTCCTTGGGAGAAGGGGTGGGGGGCTCTGGCCTGTCCTCACGGCTGTTGGGGGGCTGAGGTGGGGTTGGACGCGATGGGCTGTGCTGGGGGGGGTCCGTCCCGCTCCGGGGAGCGCTGCCCTGGCCCCTTCGCTGGCTCATCAGTTCTGGGGCCGTTCCGCAGCCTGGCTGCGCCCGTGCCCTGATAATGGAGTCGTTTGTTTTCGTCAGCACCGGCGTGACAGAAACTTGAGGCTGGGATGCCACAAAGCGCTCTGGTACGGGGGCAAGCGCACGGCCTGAGCCCCGACAGCCCT